AAAGCCCCCCCGGCCCCGCCCCACTCACTGGAAGTTGAGGGTGTTGGAGTAGAGGTGCAGCGCCGCCCGGTTGCTGCCGAGGACAAAGGGGGAGTTATTTTGGGGGTGTTCCCGGGGGTCTGGGGGGGATCGGGGGACGGGGGGGGGTCTCACCTCTTGCGGACGTGCAGGGACACGTATTTGGCGTTGAAGTTCTCGATCATGGCCCGCGACGCCTGGTCCATGAGCTTCTGTGCCAGCCCCAGGCGCCGGTGCGAGCGTTTCACCGCCTGCCACGGCCCCACACGGGCTGGGACACCCCAAAAACACCCCCGGGGACCCCAAAAACCACCCCACACCCCCGGAGCACTCCCGGATCGCCCCGCACTGGCCCTGGAAAAGCCCCCAGACCCCACAAGCCCTTAAAGAGCCACCAAAGACTCTGAGATCACCCCAAACCCCTCAAGTGACCTTAAAGCGCATCCCAAGCTCTCTGACCCCACCCAAGAGCCCCCCAAAACCCCTCAGGGAACTCCCCAAGCGCTCAGGCTCCCTCCGAGAGCCCCTCAAGGAACCCTCCCAAACCCTCAGGTGACCCCAGAGACCCCCAAGGAGCCCCCTCCCCACCCTGTGACCCCAAAGCTCCCCTGCCTTACCAGGGATGTGATGTGCCCGTGTGGGACGTCATCGGGATCCTCCTCCCTGCACGAGCACGGGGAGGGGGTGAGACCCCCAGATCCCACCGGCCACCCCCCCCAGACCCCCCCAGACCCCCGGAGAAGGTGGGGAAGAGACGCCCCCTCCCCACCCCACACTCACATCTTGGCCAGGACGTATCCCACGATCTTCCCGTTCTCGTCCTCGGCGATGTACGAGAGCTGAGGGGGGGACAGGGGTCAGGGGGGCCCTGGGGGCAATTCCAGGCGTTCCTGGGGGAGGGAAAAGGGTCCGGGGGGTCCCGGGGGGTGGATCTGGGTGTCCCTGAGGGGGGGGAGCCAGGGGGTCCCGAGGGGGGAATTCCCAAGGTCTGGGGGAAGGATTCAGGGGGTCCCGGGTGTCCCTGAGGGGGTCCCGGGGGTCTCTGAGGGGGTCCCGGGGGTCCCTGAGAGGGGATCGGGTGTCCCTGAGGGTGTCCCGAGGGTCTTGAGGGGGGACTGGGGGGTCCTGAGGGGTCCTGGGTGTCCCTGAGGGGGTCCCGGGTGTCCCTGAGGGGGTCCCGGGGGTCTCTGAGGGTGTCCCGGGGGTCCCCGAGGGGGTCCCGGGGGTGATTCGGGGCCCGCGGGTGTCCCAGGGAGGGGTCCGGCTGTTCCAGGGCCGCACCTGGGGCCAGGAGAGGCCGTGGTAGAAGTAATATTTCATCTGGTAGTTCTCGGGCAGGCAGAGCAGGTTGCAGTGCTGCATGTTCATCAGGTCCTCGGGCTGCCGGGCGGCACCGGGACACCGGGAGTCACCCCGGAACACCGGGAGTCACCCCGGAACACCGGGAGTCACCCCGGAACACCGGGAGTCACCCCGGGACCGGCCCCGCCGCTCCCCAGCACCGGGCCGCGCCCTCGGAGCCCCCTCCGCGGCACAGGACCCGCCTGAGAGCCCCGGAACACCCCGGTTCCCCCGCCCGAGGCCCGCTAAAGCACCTACCGGAGCCGAGTCCCTACCTCAGACACTCATGAACCCCCAGCTCCCCAGCACCGGGCCCGGTGCTCCCCTCACACGTCCCGGTATCACCGTCAGATCCCTCCCCGCTCCCCCTCGCCGAGCCCCGGCCGAGCCCCCCTGCTCCCCGGGGCCGCCCACCCGCGCGTTCCGGATGTTCATGGCTGCGGCTCCCGGTGCCGGTCGCGATTCCCGATCCCGGTCCCGGCTCCGCTCCCGGTCCCCTCACGAGCCGCTTCCGGCGGAAGTTCTTCCCCGACCAATCAGCGCTGAGCCCGCCCGCTCGTCCCGCCGCACTGACAGGCGCATCAGCCAATCAGCGACGAGTTCCGCGCGTGCCTGCCGCTGCCCAATCACGTGTAGAGTGCTGGGGATTGACAGCGGCACGAACCAATGGGGAGAGACGGGAGGCGGGGCAGCGCAGGGCTCGGAGGCCGCGTGGGCGAGCACGCTTTATTGCGGTGGGGGAGGGGCCGGGGGGACTCCCGGGGGTTCCCACGCTCGGGGGGGGGCTCGGGATGGGCCCCCCACACCTGAGCGGGGTCCCCATCGCGGGGTTTCGCGACTTCCTGAGTGGTGTCACAGCCACACTGCTGGGGTTTGTCCCCACATCCCGGGGTGTCCCCGCTCGTGTGTTGTCCCCGCTCGGGGTGGGGGTCGTGTCCACTCGGGGTGGGGGTCGTGTCCACTCAGGGAACACCGTCCCCACCCATCCGGTGCCCCCAGTCCTTGTCCCCGCAGCGTTCCCGTCCTGGAGTGTCCCCGGAGCGTGTCCAGCCACAGCGTCCATCCCTGCTGGGTCCCCCTCCCCAAAATCCGGCGCGGGGGGATCCCCCGGCTCAGGGCTGCATGCGCAGGGCCCCGTCCAGCCTCACCACCTCCCCGTTGATCATGGGGTTCTCAGCCAGAGCCTGCACCAGGTGCGCGTACTCGGCCGGGTCCCCCAGCCGGGACGGGAACGGCACCTGCTGTCCCAAGAAATTCCGGACCTTCTCGGGCAGACCGGCCAGGAGCGGGGTGGAGAAGAGCCCTGGGGAGCCCCAAAAGCGGGGGGTGACTGGGGCCGCTCCCCCTCGCCCCCCCCCCCGGCCCCAGCCGCCCCCAGACCCACCTGGGGCGATGGTGACCACGCGGATGCCGAGCGGCGCCAGGTCGCGGGCGATCGGCAGGGTCATGCCCACGATGCCGCCCTTGGAGGCCGAGTACGCGGCCTGGCCCACCTGTGGGGAGGGTGTGTGGCCACCGCAGGGTCCCCTGAGCCCCCCGCCCGCGGCCCCGGGGGTCCCGGGGGTCCCTCACCTGCCCCTCGAAGGCGGCCACGCTGGCCGTGTTGACCACGAGCCCGCGGTGGCCGTCGGCGTCGGGCTGGTTGTGGCTCATGAGCTGCGCGCTCAGGCGGATCACGTTGAAGGTCCCCACCAGGTTCACCTGCAGGAGGATTTGGGGAGGGGGTCTTGTGGTGCCCCCTGTGCTGGGAACACCCCAAAGTCCCCACATCCATTGGGGAGGTCACCCTTGATCCACCCCACCGAGCCCCCTGAGCCCCCCACTCATGCTGATGACCCCCCGAGCCCCCCAAGCCCCCAAC